GGGACACTCAAGTGGGCGGCCTTGGGATGTCGAAGAAAAAATAAATATGGGAGGATCGGTTCGTGAGCTTGACAGCTTTCAATAGGTACCGGGAATTGTGGCCCTAGAGGTCGCTCACACTTGAGCGACAGTTCTTAATGAAGGATTTGGATATTCATAATCCAAATATCCTTAGACAGTTTTATGAGCGCAAGGGGTGGAAGTGGTTCACCCACAGTGTCATAGATGCAAATGAGCACTTGGTCAGGGAGTTCTACGCCAATGTGGCTCACATCAAGAAGGGGACAAAAGTGACAAAGGTGAGAAATTTGAAAGTCCGCTTCGATGCCTGCTCTTTGAACACTTATGTGGGATTCGAAGAAGTGGAGGCAGTCCAGTACCTAGAGAAGTTGGCTCTGGGTGATGCAGCTCGCCTTTGGCTAGCTGAGATTTTGGCCGCCCGAGGACCATCACCACCATGGATTACAGCAAGAGTTCCTATCCTCCGGGCCACCCTCAATTTTGAAGCTAAAGGGTGGCAAACCTATGTGTGTAGCCGGATCGATCCGAGTTTGAATGAGAACAACCTCCCACTTCCACGGGCAGTTCTGGTGGCTTCTATTATGGTGGGGTACCAGATCAATGTGGGTGCCATCATGTCAACCAACATCACATTCACGGTCCGAAAAAGTGAAAAGTCGTACCCTTATCCAAACACCCTCATAGAGTATCTCAATGATGTTAAGGTGGAGCCGAGGCCATATGACACAAAAGTAAAGGCCAAGAAGCCTTTCTCATGGTACCACCTGCAGGGTGCTGACAACCCAAAGTTCAAGGGTATGGTCACTACCACCGTCGGTCAGTCTGACGAGGCATCGGTGATGGGTCTCGAGGTTGCTACTAAGCCATCTACAACTCCCATGTCTTCCATAGCAGCTGGGCCTTATACCGGGACAGTCGCAATGCCACCATCTTCATCTTCTAGGCCATCAGTTGCAGTACCAGTGCCAGCCACATCCACTTATCCTCTCACTGCGCTGCGAGTCTCCCAGACTTTGGTGAGCCTCAACAACTGGATGCAGACAACCACTTCTAAGCTGTCTGACATATCCAGTATTGTTGCAGCACAATCCTCTACCTCAGCAGCACCACAGGTCCCTCCGTCAGTGGAGGAAACATTGAAGAAGATTCTGGACAACCAGAAGACTATTATGGATACACCGGTGGCCCACGGGGTGCTATTGAGGAGTTGACCAAGCAGGTGAAGAAGATGAGGAAATCCCAGACTTCAAAGAAAGCAGTGGAGAGTTTGAGAAAGGAGGTGAAGAAGATAGCAGCAACAGGTGATTTGCCTTTTGACCTATTGATGGAGACAGATCCATCAGTACCAGCTGACCCAGCAGAACCATCAGCAGGGGCACCATCAGCAGAGGCACCAGCTGGCCATTCTGACGAGCCAGATCTCACTGCCCCCACTGCTGAGGAGATGCTTCAGATGCTCACCAACCATGTTGTCCCTCAGCCCGGTGATGATGAGATACTGTTGGAGGAGACTGAGGGTGGTGATGCTTCCAGTCACCCTGAGACCACATAGGGAGTTTTCTTTACTCTCTATCCTCTTTTGTTTTGATTTTTCTAAGCATTGAGGACAATGCTTGTTATTATTCTGGGGGGTGGTCTATTTTGGTTCATTTTGGATGACTGTGATGACATTTGATTACTTTTGGGCCTGTAATAACTTTAATACTCTTTTTCTTTTATTTTTATTTTCTCCCTCATTATGTATATATTCATCCCCCTTGTATATATTCTATTTTTCTCGGTTTGTATATTTATTTTCCTTACTTTCAGTAGTTTATTTAATAGCTTCTTCATTTTGTTTTCTTAATAGTATAGCTTCTTATTTACTTTATTAGCTTCTTTTTGATTTGTTAGCTTCTTTTTATATTTTAGTGAACAATAAGCCTTTGGTTTTCTTAATGCTACGGTTCTTTCCAAAGGTGAGTCTTGTGTAAACCGGGTGGCTCTTCTCAACGATGGATGACGTGACAACCTTCTTAAGGGATCGAGTCAGTTTTTGATGATTAGGTAGAAACAAGTAGTATTTATGAATAAATAAGGGTCAATCATGCTTCACTTGGTACCAACACACTTAACTACGTGCTTATGGTTAAAAACAAGTTTTTGTAAAGAAATACCCCTAGTTAGTGACCTTGTGACTCTTGTGTTGACTTAGGCAATCATCAGATGGTTTAGTTGAACCATTAGCGATTTTCACTCTTGAATGCGGTTGTTGTGGGCCCTCGACTCTATTCTCTTTAACAATCCGGTTGTGTGAGAGGTTAGGTATTTTGTTACAAGTCCAAGTACCCGTGCGAGTGGTCTGGAACTTGCCCCGAATGTGTTTCTAGGCGAAATTCTAAGTTATCCTGGCTTGAGAAGTGATTGTAGGCTTTCCTTGACCCGTTTTGAAACCTTCCATGGCCCACCAATGATATAATCCTTAGTAAACCCTTTTGAGCCTAAAGCCTTTTTATTCGATAAACACATTACAAGCCTTTACCCGTTTTATAGTGACTCTCTCTTGGCACCCAAACTTTCTTTAGCACTCATGTGATTCAAATGGCAAAAACATAAGTTTGGGGGAGAGGCGAGGAGTTTAAATATGGTCTCAAGGCACAAAAAGAGAAAAAAAATGAAGAAGAGGAAAGGCAAAGAAAAAGAAAGGAAGAACAAAAGAAAAACACAAAAAGAAAGTGAATAATGTGAAAGGGTTGAAAATATGCAAAAGAAAGCAAAAGTTCAAAGCATGAAGACAAAAAAGAAGGAAAATATTAATAGCATGACAAAGAAAGAGTGATGTCAAGTCTCTCTATCGGCAAAGTAAGAGCCAAAAAGAGAATATGAAGTGCTAAAGGGAAGATGAACCAATTCCATTCTGATATTTTCCTCCTTAGTCCAAAAGCCTTCATTACATGCCGAAAAAGCCCTACGTGATTTCAAGCTGAGCGAGCTTACATTAGTGGTGATCTACATGAGGGGCAAGCATATGGTACTTAGAGCCGGGCTTGTGACATTCTTTTGAGAGTGATGAGCAAATCTTTCTCGAGTCATTGAATTGAATTCTTCATTCGTGAGTGAGATGAGCTTACAGAGAGTATAGGAGGAGGAGTTTGGGATCCACAGTGACCTGCATGAAAGTGCGAGCTTCCTTGATGAACAAAGTCAACCCTTGATGCTCAAGCATCACATTAGAGCCATTTATGCTTTAACATTCAAATCATAGGCTTGTTAATGATTCATGAGCGTGTGGGTAATTGTTGGTCCCAATTGATTTGTGTTTGATTCAACTTAGGCCAACTGAAATAGCCCTTTTTCTAGTGGAGGTGGGAAATTGCCTTAATTGCTTGAGGACAAGCAAAATCTTAAGATTGGGGGAGTTGATAAGTAGGAATTTTGACCGCTTATTTGCTCTCTTTTACTTACGTTTTAGCTCAAAAATGCTTAAAGTTATTCCCGAGAACTAATGAAATGTGCTTTCTTGTAGGAATATTGGGAAACGAGCCAAAGAAGTGAAAATTAACTCAAAAGGGAGTAAAATTGGACTAGAACCAAAACAAGGCAAAAGGGGCTACAGTGCGGACCGCACAATACTGTGTGCGGCCGCAAATTCTAAAGATGCACTGATAGAATTTCTTCACAGAGTGAGGACCGCACAATTATTGTGAAGCCACATAAGACTAGATTCAGAGACTTGTAGTTTGGGAGCTTGAAGATGTGCGGACCACACCTTTATTGTGCGGCCGCAGGATGCCAAAATGCGGCCGCACTCAGAAATGTGCGGTCCGAACAATTAGAGGAAGTGCGTCCGCAACTCACTTTTATGCGACCACAGAAAGCCAACCTGACCAGTCAGTCTCAAAGTGTGGACCGCACACAGGATTATGCGGCCGCACAACCTTCGCATGAGCAATTTTGTCAGATGTTTTCAGTTGGGTATAAATAGATCTTTTTGTCATTTTTAGGTTAAGTTGGGTGCACCTGAACACTTAGAGCCGTTTTTATTTACTGTATTAGGTAACTTTGTACTAGTTTAGCTTTTAAACATTAGATTTTCTTTCCTTAATCAATTATTATGCATTTTATCTTAGTTTCTTCTTTAATTTATTCATTTTCCATGAGTATCTAAACCCTTAGCTAGGGTTGTGACCCAACCCTAGTATGGGTTTTTAATGGGTGATTGATTTAGGGATTATCTGTGATTGGGTATATGAATTTTAGCCTAGTTCTTGCTTGAATTTGAGAGTTTATGGTTGCAAATATTGATTCATGCCTAATTGACTTAGTCTATACTTGAGAAAGTGAGACTAAGTCTAGAAAAACTCGGCTAACAAGAAATTGGGGTAAACTCAAGAAACTGGTAGCCTCAATTAAAGGGTCGAATCTAGAGATAGTAAGACCCTACTTGAGCATTTATCACTTGTTTCGTGAGATACCCATTTGGACTTGAGAAAGCCGAATTGGGCAAAATTACTCAAACTACCGAGAGGTATAGAGTGAGTAATTACGTGTGATTGCTATATTGTATCCCGATCAACCAAATATTCCCTAAAGCTATAAATCCATTAGGTAACCAACTAGGCGGAAGTCGCAACCCTCGATCTTTTATAACTTGAAAAACAACCAAAACCAAAAATATTGTCTCTTAGCTTTACAATTACAAGCTTTAGAGTAAAAGTAGAAGTAGAAAAAACAATTGAAAATGTGGAAGTGTAATCTTAGGCATGACATACATTCACACTAGGTATATACCTAATCCCACATCAAGCTCCTTGTGAAATCGACCCCGACTCGCATTGGGTTTTTATTATTGCATCGACCGCCTTGCAACCTAAATTAGTGGTGTGAGTTTGGGCGATATCAATGTTGTACCTGGCTGATTGCATCCGAAGTTTCTTGGATTCTTTTTTATCATCTAGGAGTCGCCATCCTACAAGTATGTAATAATATAGTTGCCCCAGTCCCAAGTTAGATTTATAGTCCTTACCTCAATTTGATCTATCGACGAGTGGAGGGTGACAACGTTTCCTTCGCCGGTTATACTTTTGGTGGCTGCCGCTAATTTGGCGAGGCCGTTGGCTTTGGTGTTTTGTGCCCGAGGGATTCGGTCGAGCTGGCATTCATCAAACTCAGGCAGTAATTTGTAGATTTTGGCTTGGTACTTTTGCAGCCTTTGCTTTTTGATCTGGAAAGTCCCTGTGACTTGGTTGACGACGAATTGTGAGTCACAGTGTAGGATGACCCGCCTCGCTCCGTACTTGAGTGCTAGCCTTAATCCTGCAATCAAGACCTCATACTCGGCCTCATTGTTAGTCATGTTCGGATACCTTTTGGACTGGCGAATTACTTCCCCTGTCGGGACCTCGAGTACGAGTCCCAGTCCGGACCCTGACGCATTGGAACCGCCGTCAGTGTACAAAATCCATTGATCTTGTGTTTGCGGGGACGCGTGGGCGGCTTCCTTTTCTACTTCAGGCATTATTTTTGTGCTGAAGTCGGCGACAAAGTCGAAGAGGACTTGCGATTTTATCGCAGTCTGTGGTTGATACGTGATATCATGCTCGCTCAATTCTATAGCTCACTTAGCCAACCTTCCCGATAGCTCAGTTTTATGTAAAATACTTCTCAAGGGGAAGTTGTGACTACCGAGATGGGGTGGCACTGGAAGCAGGGTCTAAGCTTTCTTGAAGCTACGACCAAGGCCAGTGCCAGTTTTTCGAGGTGAGGGTACCACGTCTCGGCGTCGATTAAGGTTTTGCTAATGTAGTAGATGGGGGATTGCATACCTTTGTCTTCTCGGACCAGGACTGCGCTCACTGCTACTTCGGATATGGCGGTAGACGAGAAGACGTTCTCTAGGTTCTGCTTTGGCGAGCAATGGCAGTGATGATAGATAAGCCTTTAACTCCTTCACGGCTTGAACGCACTTTGATGACCATAGAAGATTGTTGTCTTTCTTGAGTACGCCTAAAAATTTATGACACTTATCAGACGATCGTGAGATGAACCATGACAGGGCGGTTATGCGTCCGGTCAGCCTTTGAACCTGTTTTTTGCTGGTTAAGTGTTCTGGTATTCCCTCTATGGCCTTGATTTTGTCTGGATTGACCTCGATGCCTCTTTGTGATACCAGGAAACCAAAAACTTTTCCTGAGGTCACGCCAAACGCATACTTCTCGGGGTTTAGTTTCATACCGTATCGCCTGAGTATGTCGAAGGCCTCTTTCAGGTGGTCGATGTGATCTTCTTTATGTCTGGATTTGACCAGCATATCGTCTATGTAGACCTCCATGGTTTTGCCGAGTTGGTCTTTGAACATTCTTGTCACCAACCTTTGATATGTCGCCCCCGTATTTTTCAGTCCGAAGGGCATTACCCTGTAGCAATACATTCCTTGGTGGGTGATGAATGTGGTCTTCTCCTGGTCTTCCTCCTCCACGAGGATCTGGTTATAGCCTGAGTATGCGTCTAAGAACCTCAGCAATTCGTGCCCGGATGTTGCGTCAATGAGTTGGTCGATATGGGGTAGCGGGAATGAGTCCTTTAGGCCTGCTTCGTTCAAATCTGTGAAATCTACGCACATCCACCATTTTTCGTTCTTCTTTTTCACCATGACCACGTTGGCGACCTATTGGGGGTATTTTGATTCCCTGGTAGAGCCATTTTCCAGTAATTTTTCAACTTCCTCGCGGACTGCATCGTTTATTGCGGAGTTGAACTTCCGCCTAACTTGCCTTACCGAAGGGTAAAATAGGTCAACGTTCAACTTCTGTGTCGCTATATCCTTCGGGATGCCTGACATGTCTGCATGGGAAAAGGCAAACAAGTTTGCGTTATTAGTTAAGAAATGACAGAATTTACCTGGTTCCTGAAGCTTATGGCCGATGTAAGCTCTTTTGCTGTGGTCATTATCATCAAGTTGGACGGGGTCGAGGTCTTCTATGGTTGATCCTGTGGCCTCTATTGTTTCGGGGTCTCTGATGACGTCCTCTCTTTCATCATTATTCGACCTCGACCGTGTTAATTGCTATGCATCTTTTACTTTGCCCTTTATTTGTTGGGTGTATGTGCGGTCATGGGTGATGCGATAGCATTCTCGGGAAGTGCGTTGTTCTCCTCGTATGCCGAACACTCCCCATGGGGTGGGGAATTTGATAACTTGGTACAAGCTGGAGGGGATGACCTTCATGGCGTATATCCAGGGTCGACCTATTATGGCGTTATACGCCATATCTTGGTCCATAATGTGGAATGTGGTTTCCAGCGTGACGCCGCCCGCCAGGACGGGGAGTTTGATTTCTCCGGATGTTCGTTCAACTGCATTGTTAAAACCGGTTAGTGTGATGTAGTGTGGCACTATCTTGTCCTCGAGTACCATAGGTGCAAGTACTCGAGGATGGATAATGCATGTGTCGCTCACATCGTCTACCATAATGCGCTTTACATCTGTATCTAATATTCACAATATGATAACAAGAGCATCATAGTGAGGGAAAACCAAATCGTGGGTATCTCACTTATCGAAGATGATACTTTCTTCGAGTTCATCGTACCGTTCATGAGTGACGACCGTTTGAGTTTGTGGGTCGTGGTGAACTTTACGCTATTGATTGATGCGTCATCATTGCCCCCGATGATCATTTGAATGGTATGATTTGGTGAAGGTGGTTTTGGAGGCCCCTGGTTCTGTTCACACCCTCGGGCAAAGTTGGCCCTTCCTCGGTCGCTCAGCAACTCTTTCAAGTGTCCTTGGTGAAGCATGTTCACGACCTCCTGCCTTAGTGCGATGTAATCCTCTTTTTTATGACCTCATTCCTGATGGAATTCATAGAGGGCATTTGACTTCATGGTGTTAGGGTCGGACCTCATCCTCTGTGGCCACTTCACTTTTGAGCCGAGCTTCTCCAATGCGTAGACTATTTCTGAAGGTGAGACACAAAAATTGTGAGCAAGTAGTAAAGGGGGCATACCTCTCTCGCTCCGGTGAGTCCCTGTCCTTGGCCTAGATGGGCCCTCTTCGTGACGGAAGGGCGGCCTGATGGAGCCCCTGATATATGGCTAATGCCTTTCTCGATTGGGTTGTAGAACTGCTAGATCCCCTCTGGTGTCGTTTCTTCGATCTCTTCTGGACTCGCCCTGTACTGAGGTCAACCATTGGGTTGGTCTATTTAGGTCATCTTCGTCAGCACGGACTTTAGCGCAATAGGCATTGTGTATTTCATCCCAAGTGGTTGGAGGATATTTCATGAGTCGGCTCAGCAACTTCCTAGTCGCCCTCGAACCGCTTCTGTTTAATCCATTTTGGAAAGCTGCTACAACCATGCCTTTTGATACATTTGGTAAGGTCATCCTTACACAGTTGAATCGAGCAAGGAAGTCCCTTAGTTCTTCTCCAGGTGATTGTTTGATTTCAAACATGTTATTCACTCTTGCCTATGCCTTTTTAGCTCCGGCATAGGCTGTTATGAACTTGTCGGCCATCTCTTCGAAAGTTTCAATGGAGCGCGCGGGCAGCTGTGAATACCAAGTTAATGCGCCCCCCCAATGAGGGTTTCGCCAAACTTTTTCAACAGGATGGAGGATACTTGATCTTTGGTGAGGTCGTTGCCTTTTACTGCAGTGACATAGTGAGTCACATGATCCTCATGGTCGGTTGTACCATCGTATATTTTTAGGTACGACGGCATTTTGAATGTTTTGGGTATGGAATGTGGGGCGGCTTCATCACTGTATGGTTGTTCAACGAACCGACCAGCATCTCTTTTTGGTAAGAGTTTTGGGGCTCCCGGTATTTTGTCTACCCTTTCTTGATGCTCTTTCATTTGGTCTCAAAGCATTTTATTTTCGTTTTCCATTTCTTCTATCTTCCTCAGAATGGTCGTGAGGGTATCGTCACCTGCATTATTAACATTGTGAGTGATACATATTATTGGAGGGAGAGGGCCGTACTGCTCTGCCGTCATTGGTGCAACGCAGGTCTTCGCATTTTCTCTGATTACTTTTTGGGAAGGTTTATTGAGGACGCTGGTCAGCGTGTTTGTTAGCCAAGCCTTAAGTAGTTTCTTCAATGCTGGTGGCACCTCTTCCGTTGTGGACGTGGAAGCCTCTTTATCGCGGGACGTTGTGATACTACCATGAGGGAGGGTTGAGCCACTTCGTCTGGGAGAGGCATTGGGCGTTACATCTTCACCCTCCGTTTCAGAAACTTCGTTGATGGTATTTAAGAGGTTGGTGGTGAGATAGGCCATTGCCTGCATCCTTTCTTCTCTGTTACCTGCCATGTTAGGTCTGTGCGTACAAGAAAGCAGGGGTTTTGCCCCCTTTGTTTTGCTAGTTATGGATCTAGAATAAACTAAAATTTTAACTAGGAAATCCCCACAGATGGCGCCAAATTATTTTACCAAAAAATATAGATCTTTGGCAAAACTAATTAAATGTATTTAATGAGGAGTTAAGCCTAGCTAATAATAATAACTTCAGATGTGTAATCGATCCACATGGATAAAGTTCGAACAACTTAGAAAGGGAGTTAGATTCGATGTGTATTTAATGTTTCAATATCAATAATGGAAGAGGAATATGAAGCATTTAATAACAATAAATGGCACTAAAATAAATAAGGAGAATCATTCACCCAATATTGAATGAGGTGGATGATTCCTCCTTTTGATTATGATGAATGATAGATAGATACAAGAGTCTCGGAGCCTTTCTCGGATTTGATATAAAAGATATAGAACAATCAACAATCGAATCTCTTTAGAAAGGTAGTGTTTGTATTTATCTATCGAGAGTCATCTTTATCAAGAATGTTCTTGTCAGAGAATATCATCCGTCTCTCATCGGATGCCCCAATTAACCCTAAAAGTACAAGTATAAAGAATATTCAACGAAATATTCTCTTAAAGGTCCTATTACTAAACTGGCCGTTACTGCTCCCTTTGATACTTGACCTCGGTCGTGACTGGCTGCTCAACGATGAATCCCATCAGTTACTAGTCGACCTTGGCCAAATTACTTTTGGCAACACCATTTCGCGTTGAGTGCCCTTAAACGGATTTTGACCCATACAGATGGTTGTGTGAAATTGGCGAAGGGTTGCTATGATTACTTTGCCATAATTGCTTTGGGATGGATAATTCATATCGCTCTTTCATATATTTCCTTGCAATTGCATGTCATATGTTCGACCAATTGGCTGAATGACATTGGAGCCTTAGAACTAACAATTAAATACCCTAAAAAATGTTTTTAATCGATATATTTTGAGACTTAAGACCTTAAACATATCCTTGTATATGCAAGCATTAGAAATACTTGGGGAAAAAATTGAATTCATGAAGAATCAAAGACTCCAAGTACATTGGGAAAAAAATATTAACTGAATCAGTTGACTCAGCTCTGAAATTTGAGTGACGAGAATTGTTTTCACAAAACCTGCGACATTTTCTCTCAGCTTCTTCATTGTTTTCTTTTCTCATCCTGCTTCTTGCTTAATATTTAGTTGATTTCACCAGAGAAAGTTTCTCCCATGTGGACGCGTCAAAGTTGGCTTTTTGTATTTCGTTTTATTTGCGGAGTAATTATTTTACCTCGAAAATTGAGGTAATTAGAGTATTACGCATCTTTTCTCTAAAAATGGCGGGTTCTCTTTTATTTTGTGGTAATTGCTGTTTGTTTCTTCCCCCTCTCCTGTTTGTTTTATCTAACTGTGCTGACATCTTCTCTAATCCATTCTTAAGAGCATATATATTGGAATATAATAGCATCTATTAGGTGTTCCTGTTTCCTATAGTACTGGCCTACTGTTTGCTTTCAAGTTTAGAGACTGCTTTCCTTTTTATAACACTTTATTCGATTAAAGTCCTGTTTGAAATTTAAAAGGATGGTCCAATGATTCTAAACAAATATGTCTTGAACTATGTTTTAAGTTCTTCACATGCATAGACAAACAATTTCCAAAGAAGTCAATAAGTCAAGTGAAAGGCTTAGGCACTGGAAGTTTAAAATAATATTTGTTGAATTAGACTTCTTCTCGTGGCTACTACTTTCTACATTCATGTTACTTTTACACTTCTCTTTGAATTTCAGGATAAAAAGTTTTTTCAAAACTTGTAGCAGAGGCACTTCTGGGTTTTCACAGTGAACATTCCATTCAGGTATTGTCACTCATTTCATTATAGGAAAAGAGTAAGTTTTCTTCTTTATCCATCTTTCAGTCAGTATAGGAGGATGTTTACGTGTATTTCATCTCTTTAGTGCTTATCTTAGCAAGCCTTTGTCCCAAAAAAGATAAAAAGCCTATCTTAGTAAGCTATTTGATTTCTTATATTTCTTGAATAGCTACATCGACATTTGAAGATAATGTGAGTCCTAACTTGAATAGACTAATAAAAATGAATATGATGAAATTTCTGTGAACAAGAAAAGGTCAAATGTGAAAGAAGAATGAGACACTTGACATTTTAAGTATATTCCAATTCAGAAGATAAACTGAAGGGAGCAAAAGCTCATGTATATGATGAACATGAATTTGAAAAATAGTAATAATAACCTCCAGAAAAAAGAAGCATATGTTGAGAAAGCTGATAAAGGGTTTTGAATTTAACAAAC